ACAGACCGATCAACCGAGTCGAATGCGCCTTAAAAATCCAGGAACACGTATGGCACTATTCTAGCGCCTGACGGAGTGTGGAGATTGGGTCAACACAACTGCTACCAGGCCGGAATCCAGCTTGTCGCTCTCGATTCAGTATTTCACGAGCCACCATAAGGTGAGGAAGCAATAGTACTCCAACAAATCGGAGTCAACCTGATCCCCCTGTGATTGCCACACTCACTATGCGCCCTTTTTTGAAAATGGGCACTGTCTCCTACTCTCCCCAGTTGTCTGGGACAAACTCCTTCTGAATACAAGCAAACAGATCAGACAATCACTGACTGAGGACTTCACCCCCATCTCTGAACAATGTGGATGGGAAGACATCTGGAGCAGAGGTTCGGTGGTGCTTAATAGAACATATGCAGTCATAAGCCCCCGAGGCTGCAGGCGGTCCCACGTTCACCGTCCAGGGTTCTACGTCAACTGTGAACTCCATGTGGGTGCCAGCTGATGGCCACGACAACTGTTGTTCGAATTATTCGGCCCTACGGTTGAAGTGTTCCTCTTTATTCAAGATCGTCATTCTATTCCGATCTTTAATGATTTCGCTCACAGGTGGATCTAGGTGACCAGGCGCACGGATCAGCTGAAATAACCATTTAGGCATTCCGGATTTTCTGGGCCTATTCCGTTTCGTTGGCACTCCATATCCACCATACTTCACGGTTGGCTCGCGCGCTTACCTCCACTTGACGTCTGATAATTCGTCGCATCAAGTTATGTTCCTTGACGGCTGGGATATTTCTCCGAGATTTAAGCAGTGCCACCGTTCGGTCTGATATTCAGTGCTTCAGCGCACCCGGTGGCAACGTGCCTCAGGCGAAATTCTCAGCACTATGCAAAGAGATGGCAATCTCGTCCCAGCAGGAGTTTGGAGCTGATGGCGAAACCTTTGGAAGAAACTCTAGAACACGATTCTGGTAGGTTTGTCTCACATCTGGTTCTGCCAGACGCCAAGTCCGCAGCTTACGCGGCCCCGGGACACGTAGGGACAAGCAACTCCGGACGAGGGCGTGGTAGGAATACACAAACATGTTCCAAAACGACTGGCAGTCAGTTATTGATCCACGCCATCAGTAACTGGTGTAAACAGGATCGATTTGAGTTTGTGGCCGGCTTTTCGGAAGTCATTACTGCATAAAAACAGCCTGCGACAGCACACAGCTGAAGCAGTCGTTCCCCATTGTCCGTACACACCGAATCCATTCCATGTCGACCTCCTAATTGTGTCTCAGATACGCTAAACCACCACGATGTCTGAGTTTTTAGCTCGCCGCAACAGGACATTCAGGGTATCGTAAAGTCAGTTGGAAATTACGCATACACAATGAACAGACATCTATCAACTTGCCGCTTGTGAGACTCTTTCACAGACGTTGCCAGATGAACCACACAGAGGCGACTATCAACAGGTATCCAGTCAAGTAAGGATACTTCCGCCCGGTGACTTAGCACAGTACCAACCCCTGCACATTCCACCGCAGCAGCCTCTGGATCACCAGAGATGCGCAGACGGAAGCGAGTGGAGACTGACGGGGCGGTTAACTCAATCACTGTGCTTGCATCTTGAATTCTCGTTTCTGAGACACAGCACACATCAATGCCAAGCGAGTCCAGTG